GGAAATGGACTGATCTGCCCACTCCTAGTGCCAAGTCACTGATATAAGTCTTCAGCAGATGGGATGCAGTTACTTCAACGTGATGCTTTCTTGAAACTCAACTTCTGCCTTCCCTTGTCGTTGCTGTGCTGCAGTAGAATTGTGTTTCTGGTGACTTCAGCTGTTCTGTATGAACCTGTGATGGATTTGCTGCTTGTAATAGTCTTGTTGGGATCTGTCCCTTGGGCAGCTGGCAGGTCAGGCTGGCAATGCCCAGACGAAAAGGACTGCAGGATGGGCATGCTGCACTGCAGCTCTCAATGGACCAAGTCCAGGTTAAAGCCAGAAATAGCTTCCTAACCGCTTTTGACCTCTGCTTCGAGTTTGCTCCCAGCAAGACTGCTCTAAAAATGTGCCCTTGGGAAGCTGCCTCTGCACTCTGCTGCAAGACTGCAGCGGACTATCGGGGTTGGTGTCCTCTGTTGTTGGACTCTGCCTCCCATCACCCCGACCACTGACCAGTCTGGCTAGGGCTGATGGGAACTGTAGTCCAGCAATATCTGGAGGGCCACAGGTTCCTCATCTCTGCTTTAAGACTACAAGAGCAGGGGGGACTATTTAACAAGGAAAGGGAATAGTGTGTGTCTGTTGGTTCATTCAAGGTAAACAGCCACATCTCTAGAGAATGATGTAATTTGTATGTGTATATTTATTAGTTACTTTTTTATCTCACCCTTCCACAGTGGAGCTCAAGGGTGGGTGTGTACTTTTTATCATTACAACAACCAGGTGAAATAGGTAGGGTTAACAGATGGCAACCAGCAGTCCAAGGCCCTCCAATCAGGTAAGGTAGGTCATTGTTGATAAATCAGTATTGGGGGGGGGGTTGGATGTTTGAGGATAAGAAAATATGCCTTCTCTTGTGATCAGTTGGTGATTTCATGGTTAAGATGAGCCACAAGGTAGGGGCATCTTGGTTCACATTCTTGTGCTGGTGTTGAGGTGCAGCAATGAGTTGCAGTTTTAAGGATCAGTTTCTTGATGAGTACCATAATTTAAGGATGGAGGCTATTCAGATAATTTATAAGACTTTAAATTCTGGATTTTGAATTTTTCCTTCTGTCTACCTTTATTATTTCCCTGAGTGCCAGACAGATGCTGGAATGGTTTTGCTGCAGAAAGAATACGCATTTCCTTTATTTGCTCGTTTCCTACCAACAGTAAATGAGTAAGGCGTTCTTATTTGCATCATGGGCATCACTTGCCCATATATTTTATTGCAACATAATCTGATGCCTGTTTTCTTGGTAGTGGTCTGAAGAACCTTCCATCACAGCCATGGGCAGCAATAAATTTAACTTGTTTCTGCTTCATGTTCTTTCCACTGCAGCAGCGGCAGTCTGGCTCGCACAGTCCCATTGTCCCCAGCTCCTTTGGCAAGCATCTTGCTCTTGGCAAGGCCAATGTTAATCAGTGTTTGGCAGCGTGCAGAGGCCATTGAGCTTCCATGCTTAATGCCCACCTGCTATAGTACAGCCTGAGGGCCTTGCAGGACTTTAGAGCTACAAAAGTTGGTTTCAGTTGCTGGTGAAAGGAGCAGAGACGCCATGGTGCAGGGAACACATCAGGATAGATGCCATTTTGTAGTGTACGGTGTCACTGGTAGAGCTCAGAGCAGGGGTGGGGAATCTTTTCTGGCCTAGATCCTGATCTTCTCCAACCCTTAGCAGGCCAGATTTGACAGGTGAGTGGAACTGTCTCTCTGTCAATCAATCAATCAATCAATCAATCACCTTGGTATCTCTATGATGTTTGGTGACACTGTGCTTTGAAGCCCAGTTGTTGGGGCTTCAAGGTTCATTGTGTTGACTGTATGAAAGCCCTTTTGCAAACAGCCCTGCACTGTTTTTTGAACTTCCAAAAACCAAGGAGTAGTGCAGGGCTGTTTGCAAAATGGAAATTGCTTTCATCTCCCATCAGCTGATTGGCAGTGGAAGCTCACCTTGCTCTAGCTGAAATGAAGAATTGGGAGCTTGCATTAAGCTCCCAAGCATTTAGTTGTTGCCCCATGAGTGCCTGCTTCATTTCTGATGTCAAGTGTGGGGTGGTGAGCATGTCTTAGGGGAAATGGCCTCACAAGCCAAATTGGGAGCCCTGGTAAGCCACATTTTACTCATGGGCTTACCCAGCTTTGTCCTAGAGAGCCTGTGAATGCATGAAATAAAGAGCATAGGATGTTTTGAGTGCATCCATGTGCAGAGCTGTCTATAGACCTGCTCATTGGATGAGATCTGCACAAGGAAATTGAGATAAGAGTCATAAGAGTTTGAAGCTGTCTTGGAGAGCATCTAGTCCACCTCCCTCCTCAGTTCGGAATCTGCAACTCAAGGTGAAACTACTGCAAAGTCCCTGACAGATGGCTGTCCAGTTGCTGCTTAAAAGGCCTCCAGAAAAGGAAAGATCACCATTTCCTGAGGCAGTCTGTTCCACTATCAGAAAGCTCATATCATTGGTATGCCTCTCCCAAGGCTTAGCTAAAATCTGCTTCCCTGTGTTCCCAGCCTTTGTTTCAAGGCCTGGCCTTCTGGAGCAAGAGAGAATGAGTGCTCCATTTTCTGTGTTACAGCTCTTCAGATATTTGAAGATCCCAGTCATGTCTTTCCTTAACTTTTTATAACTTAGGCTGATCATATCCAGTTCTTTCAACCGTTCCTCACTGCATCGATACCAAGATGGTGCTACTGGCTAGGGATGGGGGTGAACCCTAGAAGGTAATTCCCTTTCTCACAATTCTCTCTGTTGTGGATACACATTGCGTACAAATTCTGTGAATAGCACTTGGCTCGAAAATGGCCTGTGGCAGCAAAACCAGAGAGAGAAATTCCAAGTTTATTGGAAACCTCCTTGCTTCTTACCTGTCTTCCTTTTTGCCTGTTTTGGATTGGAAAGGAAGCAGCAGGGCTGCAAGAATACTGATTGCTTCTAAAAGAAAGACATGGTAGCATTCTGGGGGAAATGAATAGGGACACCAAGCCTTAGAAGTGGAAGTGGTGTGCAGGTGGGGATAACAGCATTGTGTTTGCACCGCAAATTAGATGCAGGGCATGGGTGAATTTTGTATCACAGTATTGTGTCTAGTCTTCCAACTTTGAACAGAGAATGGTGTGGGGCTTTTAATCTGAATATATTACCAGGAGACCCTTGCAGATAAAAAACAGGAAGATGCACTGAATAGTCCTCTGGTAGCAAACCTATACTACAGGGTTGGGGGACCTGTGGCTGCCCAGATGTAGTTGAAGAACTACAAGCATATGGAGAGCACCACATACACTGCCTCTGTCTCTAGAGCTCTGTTCTTGTTAAAATTTAATGAGAACAAATGAGCTGGTGTGCATCAGGAAGAAGGAAGAGCCTTTCCCCTGAGACGTGTGGTATTGATAAGAGTTCCTGCAGTCCCTTGGTATTTGAGAGGGCAAAGGACCTCTTTAACCTTGAGAGGGGGGTGATATCTGTAGCCTGAAGTGTCCTTGCCCTATGTTGCAGAGTAGAGCCAGCTTTGCTGGTAGATCTGAGAGCCATTCATAGTAGATTGGCAATGTTTTCTGACTCCCAGTAGTCTAACCAGAGCAACAGCAGAGAGGCTGCATCACCAACTTTTCATCAGGAAGGCTGATGAAAAGAAGAAACTTTAACCAGGGGTGAATGTTTAGTGTGAAAGCACTGTGAGCTCAGTTCTCATGCTGTGAACAAATTATTGGGCTTGGGATGCGCTGAGAGGCGTCCTTAACTTGAAAAGTGTATATTTTGCAACTGTCTCCAATTGGTGGCTCTTCCCAGGGTGTGTAGGTGTGTGTTTAAAAAAAGCAAATTGAAAGCCTGAAGCCCACCCAGCCCTCCCATACAGCAGCTTACCTGTCAGTGGACCCTGCTTGTGTCAAGGGCTATTCGCTTCCAGTTCATTTCACCTATTCTCTTCTCAACTTATGGGTTTATCATTTTGCTTCTAGCCAAATTAAAGCTGCTGGTCCCCCATTGCTGCTGTAATTGATCTGGCATAAGGTAGGGTTGAGGAACCCCTGACTCTCCTCAACTATGACTCCCTCTTCATGGGCTATATGGCTGGGGCTGGTGGAAGTTGGATCCTGGTAACATCTGGAGGGCCACAGGCTTTCAGGAACAGCTTTCTCCAGAGATATATCTTGCTCTCAGAACACATTCCCAGAGTGGCTCCCCGCTCCCCATTCTGCAACAGTGAACAAAGGTTCACAAGGAGGGATGTTGCTATAGGTGCCGTCACCATCCACAATAAGATTAACCACAACCAAAAATTTAGCTTTTTTGTGGGGTGGGGGGCTTGCATTGTAGAATTCCCTTGCAAGACCCTCTTGCTGTTCTGTGAATATATTTTTTCCACCAAGCCTTTTAAGAACTAGGACTGTTTATGTTTAATATGGTATAAAGCTGCTGATAGTATGGACAGTATGTGTGTTTTACCAATGAATTCTTTTATGAAGGGTTGTTATTGTTTTATTTTCAGCCATTTTGAGGGTCTGCATAGCTGAAAAGCAGCCTGAAACATTTTCTATAGAACTAAATATATAAGTTTCAACTTCTGATTAACAAGCCTTCACCAACCTGGTGCCCTCCAGATGTTTTGGACTCCAGATCTCCCTGTGCTGACTGGGGCTTATGGGAGTTTTAGTCCAAAATGACTGGAGGACACCAGGTTGGTGACGGCTGCGATAGACTGTGTGTTGAAGACATATCAGTGGCTTCATGAGCAATTCTCCTAGAGTAACAGCTGTTTAAGTGGAGGATAACTCCTAGACACATGATTACATATGACTGGGATGGGCAGGGGGGGGATATCTCATGTGCATTTATGTTTGTATTGAGAAACCCTAAGCAACTTCCAAGGACCTGCATGCTTCTCTATAACAAAGCCTGGAAGCTGCTGTTTTAGGCCAAGAGAGAAGGACCCAGTATAGACATAGCAGGACAGGTGGGTTTGAGTGTTAAGTGTCGTAGCTCAGTGGCAGAGCATCTGCTTTCCATGCAGAGGGTCCCATGTTCAATTCCCAGGTAGGGCTGGGAGAGACCTCTGCCTGAAACCCTGGAGAGCTGCTGCCTGTCAGTTTAGACAGTGCTGAGATAGATGCACCAATGATCTGATTCAGTATAAGGTGGCTTCCTAGGTATCTATGTAAGAAATAAAGCAGTCATTTATTTTCTTCTTTCATTATCTCCCAATCTTTTCAAACAGATAGGATTGCACTCTTTCTTTCCTCTCTCTGCTTTGCCCCTCTGTGTGTTCCTTTCAACTGTTGCTTTGTCTCCCATATACACTCTGTGTTCCTCAGTAAGAAGGCATTAAATGCTCTAAATATGAGGCAGCCCAGATTGTGGGGTGGCGGGGCAGAAGCAGATGGGGAAGGAGGTAGAGTGTGCCAGGCCCTTTTTTTACCCATGAATAAATTCTTTCTTGCACTCACATTGGAGATCCCGAATGAAATGAAAGCTTTTAGCATCAAATGATGCTTCAGGGAGCAGCCTTTCAACTGGGGGCGGGGGAACCACTGGAGTTCTTTTAAAGGGTCTTCTTCTCCAGCTGAAAGAGTGATGGGGGTGGAGGGAAGTCTGCATGAGCCCATTAACCTTAGTCGCAGCTCAGTGCATGCTGTCTTCCTCGCATGCCTGTCACCGTGTTCTCCCAAGAGAGATGGCATAGCCTGTTTCAATCTAAAGCTGCCTTCTGTGGATGGGAAAAAACGATGGCCAGAAAAAAAAGATCTGAAAACCTTAAAGTGCTTTATGAATAAATGGTTAATTAGCTGCTAGTCCAAGGTGAAGCAGGCAGGCCCAAATCTGGCACTTAAAATAAATTATGTAAATGTGAATGTACATTTACATCATTAGTTCTGGTTGCGATAGTCCCCCCTTCCCCCCTCCTGTTTTTCTCCAGCTAGTATAAAAAAGAGGCTTTCAAAAAAGAAGCCAGTGTGCCTTCTCTTCTATCTTTGTTTCATTGCTCCTTTAATTTTCAGCTTCTTTAAGCCTATCACTGGTACTTAGATCAGAATCTTATCCTGCAAACCAAAGCATCCTTAATTGGAAGCAAGTCCCATTGAATTCCCTGGGGATTTATTATCTGCACGAACATGCTTAGGCCTTGGCTCTGTAGGAACCTGAAGCAGAACCTTGTATAACAATGGTTTTTTGTAGTCTTTCAGGTACTGGAAACAAGGCTTTTGATTTAAATAACTGTTTTTCAAGGTTGGGGGGGTGGATACTGCGTTGCCAGCGTGTTGATTACCTGACAAAGCCTGCAGTTTGAATATTATTCAGAAAAAGCAGTAGTACATCCATGGCCCTCATTGTACCCTCATATATGCCATCCTCTGGATACCTTAACCCAGTGCTTTTTTTCTGGGGGTATGCAGGCGTACGCATACCCCTAAACATATTGTGAATCTAAGTTTGGCCTCATTGAGGGGCAGTATTTCAATATGAGTAGAGTAGGAGAATGAGAGTACCCCTAAACTTTTTTATAGAAAAAAAGCACTGCCTTAGCTACCTTTTGGATGGCCTCTGTGGGCTGAGTGAGATGGGTTTTGTGCAACTAGATATGTGTGCGAGGGCCCATCTGTGGAAATGTGTCGCTACCGAAGCTGATCTGCAACTTATTTTGGAGGTGCAAAAGAGAATTCTGTGCATTGGTTCTGATAGCTAAAATGGAATTTCCAAATTCAAGTTCAATATTTTTGCCATAAACAAGTAAGCAAGACACAGAATAATGGCAGGCCATAGCCCATGTTACCACTCAGCTATTGACTACCAGCCTGCTCACCTAATTATAAAAAACCATTTTGGCCTCTTCATTCATCTAGGCAGAGGGCACCTTAGTTCATGTTCTTAGAAACAGTGGTTTGTGGGAGCCCCTAGGCATTGTGGGGAGAGAGAAGTAACAGGTTCTTGTTCTTGCAAGGATTGTAGCAGCTTGGCTTGCTCTACACTGCCCTCTACTGCCAACCTTCAGTTCAACTACATTCCTGAAGCGTAGGAAGATTCCTTATACAGACTCACACTTTTGGTCTATATGGCATAGTATTTTCTATATTAAGTTCTGGAGATCTGCTGCCAGGCAGGCAGGAATCTTGCCAGTCCCCAACTGGAGATTCTAGGGATCAAATCTGGAACTTTATGGATGCAAAGCATATGCTGTACCACTGAGTCCCAAATGCTGAACCATTTTGGGAGAACTGGAGTTTTAGGGAACCCAACAAAGCTCCTTAATTTTATTTTAGCTTAAAAAGAAAATTTAGTCTCCCCCAATCCAAAGAGGTTTGTTGGAAATAATAAATAAATAAATAATAAATCCGTGATAAGTAAACTACTGATAGTAAGGGGGCAGAATCAACATGTTTATACCAAAACATTGATCCTCCAGATGTTGTTGCACCATGCTTCCACTATCACTTGTCATTGGCTGTGCTGGCTGGAGTTGTTAAGAGTTGGAATCCAACAATATGTGAAATGCCACATTCTTCTGGATGATGCTTGGGCTTGGGAAAGGTCAGGAAGGCAGGATGCAACCAGCAAGTGGCTTCTTAGTATTCTAGTTTATTACATTAGAAGAGTCCTGTTGGATTAGACAGGCCACCACCATCGTGTCGTACACAGCCACCAATCTGATGCTTCTGGAAAGCCCACAAGTAGGGCATGAAGGCAGCAGCTCTCCACTGCCATTTGCTGTCCAGAAACTGGTGTTCATTTGTATTCTGCCTCTGAACATAAAGGTTCAATTTAGCTGTCAGGGCTAATAGACCTATCTGTGGCTGTCCTCCCATCGGTTAGTATGATCACAGAAAGAGTATGTTTCAGAGGGTGTGTTTGATTTGATCCAAGAAAATGTTGCATGTTATAGCTGAGAAGTGCTCTTCTTGTGTAATGTATGTAAGGTTCTTTTCCGTTTAGGAACTGAAAAACGATCAGCTTGCAAAAGGGTAGTTCGCTAGCTCCTGCCATTCCTGAAGACACTGGAAGCAGATAGCAGCTGTTCCCTCACTTTCTATACACACCCATAACAGAAATACTAACAAACATTTTGTTTCTAGTCTGGGAGCTACCAAGGTCTGGCACACTGAGTCTTGTTCCACATCCTACCAAATGCCAAAATACAGATTGGGTCATACGTAATCACTCAGGAATTTCTGTCCTGAACTTGGCTAATCTCAGCATCCGCTGGGGAACAGGAATTCCAAGTGTTCAGCACCTGTCTCTATGCACGTGCTACGATGAAGCTGGCAATACCTGTCTGACAGGTATGTTGTCACCCAGTCATCTGCATCAGACAGACAGGTCAAATTTGGGGTGTTGAGGGCATGATGTTGGAAAGGGTCAGTGGTTGTGATGGGAGGCCAAATGGATCTCTGTGTGTGTGTGTTGGTATTTCACAACGGGCTTTGGGAGTGAATTTGTTGTGGCCAATGAGGTGTCTGGTGATACACACTGTTTGGGTGGCTTTGTAGAGGAGAATCAGGGTCTCCTTGATTCACACTGAAAGGATTGAACTCTACTTGGGAACTGGAGGAAGAAAGCTGGGCTAACACAGGCTGGAGAGTAAATGAGGGTACAAGAACTAAAGGCGCCTTAAAAAACAACAAACCACCATCCCAGTTTCTTATTTGGCTGGCTATTTAAAGGTAAGGCGCACAGAAGCAGGAAGTGGAATGGACTTTGCTGAATCACAGTGGAATATTCTATCATTGGGGCTGGATTCAAGGAAGAGAGGGAACGCCTTTCCTTTTTTGCTGAAATCTGATGAATGGAGGGAATCTTGCCCCGGATGCATTGAGCAGGCAAGGCCCAGGCTAGGCTTTCCGGAGATCTGGCAGGTGGCGAGGGGCTCCTGCTTTCCATCTCCATGTACTTCTCTGGCACTCCTACTTTGTAACCAGATACGTTCACCAAAAAGTCAACAAAAGGGGGCTAGTTATCAGGACAGATTAGTTAGGTGGTACAGTGGTACCTCGGCTTACATACGCTTCAGGTTACATACGCTTCAGGTTACAGACTCCGCTAACCCAGAAATAGTAACTCAGGTTAAGAACTTTGCTTCAGGATGAGAACAGAAATCGTGCTGCGGCGTGGCAGCAGCAGAAGGCCCCATTAGCTAAAGTGGTGCTTCAGGTTAAGAACAGTTTCAGGTTAAGAACGGACCTGCGGAATGAATTAAGTACTTACCTTGAGGTACCAGTGTATTTAAGTGCATCTCTTAAAGAGCTCAACTCTGATAGTATCTGCAGGCTTTTATTTTCAAAGGAAGACCTGTCGTTGCTACTTTGTTCTAATAAACTCTGGTGCGACATGAGAATTGTCGCACTGAACTGAATGACCCAGAACTGAATGACCTGAAAACTGTCTGCGGACAAATGCCGGCTCCCTTGGCCTGTAAAGCGAGATGAGCGCCGCAACCCCAGAGTCATCTGCGACTGGACTTAACTGTAAGGGGTCCTTTACCTTTACCTTTTATGGGGCCAGCAAAGTTTATCTTGCCTGGGCCAGATCGGTCCTCCATGGGCCAGATCGCATATGCGCACCCGTGATTTTTGGCATCTGCGTGTGCGCAGATGTGATTTTTGGCGTCGGCGTCTACGCAGACACAATTTCCTGCGCTGCAGAATTGAGTCTCCATGCCGCACTGTGCCAGTTTAGCGCAGCACACGAGCTGGCAGCTTGGTTCGGGGGTGGCTTGTGGGCCAGTCAAATGACCTCTGCAGGCTGCTTCCAGCCCATGGGCCTTAGGCTGCTGACCCTGGTGTAGCCCATACTTTCGCCAACCTGATTCCCTCCAGAGGTTTTGACCATTAGCCGTGCTGGCTGGTTCTGATGGGAATTGGGAGTCCAGCACTGTCTGGAGGGTGCCAGGCTGAGGGTATCTGGTCCAGCCTAATTAAATCTTCATCTTATTTATTTGCCTACCTCCTCCACTTCATCTCAAGATTACTACAAACTGCCAGTTTTGCCTTTTTCATCACACCTCAAAACAATGTTTCCTTCCCCGCCCTCTTTTTTTCATTCTTGCATCCAAC